TTACACATGGATGGGGCATGTCTAAAATATTTTAGCCAGCTCACATGTCTTATATACAGCTATATACGGAAATACATATATGCACATATGAACATATAATGTATATGTATATGGACACACATTAAAATAACATTAGTTAGGTCAGGGGTCAGTAAACATTTTTTTTTAAGGGCAAGAGAGTAAATATTTTAGGCTTTTCAATCTCTGTTGCAGTGACTCAACCCTGCCATTGTAGTGTGAAAGCATTCATAGACATTATGTAAGGGAACAAACATGAATGTGTTCTGGTACTTTATTTAGGGACAAAGAAATGTAAATTTCATAAAATTTCCACATCATGAAATATTTTTTTTTTTGGACCTTTTAAAGTGCTTTTAAGATGTGAACGTATGCTCAGCTCACAGTTTAGCCCATTGCAAAACAGGCAGTGGGCAATATTCGCTCTACAGTGTATAGCTTGAAGATTCCTCATCTAAGCTATGAGACTTCCAAGTCAATTTCTGAGTTGCAGCATATGTCCTGTGATTGGAAAAGATGAAAAGTGAGAACGAAAATTAGAGAACATGTATTTGTGGACGTTACCTGGTCCACATTAGAAACCCTCTTGGAGTTATGTACGATGTAATTTCATCATTTCATACAAGTGCGGAGTAGAGTTCTATGACACTTTAAACACAGAGTGGAGAGCCAAGACATGTCTATCCAATTCCAAAGTTCATGTGCTTTCTTTTTTTTCTTCTTCTTTTTTTTTTTTTTTTTTTACTTTTTAAATGTTTATTTATTTTTGAGAGAAAGAGAGAAAGGGAGAGACAGAGCATGAGTTGGGGAGGGACACACAAAAGAGGGAACACAGAATCCAAAGCAGGTTCCAGGCTCTGAGCTATCAACAGAGACCCCAACACCCATGAACCAGGAGATCATGACCTGGGCAGAAGTCGGAGTCTCAACAGACTGAGCCACCTAGGTGCCCCAAATGCTTTGTTTTCTAGAGTCATGCTTGTGGGTTTTCCCGAGTGTCTGAGCTTTTTCTGGTCAGAATTGCTCCGCTGCCCGATTCCAAAGGCACCATTCTGTTGTGTTATCTGTAACCGTCCCCTTTGAACACAGTGTGGATGGAGTTGCTCGACACTGTGCAAAGATCCTGCCCTGGCTGTTTTGTTTTGTTTTGTTTTTGTTTGTTGGTTTTTTTGTGTGTGCGTGTTTGTTTGCTCAACCTACTAGGTTTCTGGAGGCTGTGAGAAACCACTGAAGGGCTTTAAGCCCTAAATTGGCAAGAGCAAATCAAACACTACATATATATATATCCATGTAGTGTTGAGATTTGGGGCTGCATTTCAGAACAAGAACTCAGCACCAAGTGAATCATTGATATGACCAACTTATATAACAAAAGCAAAGATACAACTTTAAAATCCTATGCTTGTTTGAAACAGTAAAAGTATATTCTGTTTTAAAAATGGGCATATGTATTTTATGCACAAAGAGAACTAACAAAATATATATAAAGCATGCACAGAATAGAACTGTGCTTTGTCTTATATTTAACCTAGGTGTTACATAAAATAAATATTACATAGTTGACATTCATTTTGTTTTACTTCCTGGAATTTTTGAAATAGAATAATTCCAAATGTTCTCTACAAGTACAATCTTATCATACTTATTAAAAATTCATTTAATCTTGACTCAGAAATACTATGTGTACATATTCTTTCTATTGTGTGAAATAATGTATTAGTATATAAATCAAAGAATTATATATAAAAGTAAATTACTGGAAAAAATATAAATAACCTCAATATAAGACTAGTTAATAAATTATTATATATCCATATAATGAAACAGTATGGAGTTTTTAAGAAGATAAAAAGGCTCCATATATATTGGTATGGAAAGAGCTCTAAGATATATTGTTGCATTTTTTAAATAGTTACATGCCAGTATATATCATTTATATAAAACATCTATCTATCAATGTCAATCTGTGTTTGTGTTCATGAGTGTGTTGTCTGTGTGTGTTAAAGAATACATCACTTCTAGGAGGGGGAATGCGTGAGGGGAAAGCAAAACAAAACAAAACAAAATAAAAACTATTTACTTCAAAGGAGGAAAGGATGATTTTTAGGAGGCCAGAAAGAGCAGAAGGCTTTTTTTAAATTTAATTTTATAACCTTTCATATCTTTTGAACTTCAAATACAGCTATCAAAGGAAATTTGATCGAAATAGCTGATTTCTTTATTGAGTTTCAGTGAATATCCATGTAACAAGCCAACACAGTCAAAATCCTCCGTCAAACTTAGCTCTTTGCTTAGAGTAACAAACGTTCAAGGGATATTTATTTGTTGCAGATGATGATGCTTCCACTACTGATGTTCCTTCCCCAGCTTAAAGGACAAAGTTGATATTTCCCCCACAGCTTTTGTTGAAGTTCCCAGCCTATACAAACAGAGCCCCATAGCCTGCAATCAGAGCAGGCTGCATTAATAGATATAGCTCAGATTGATTGAATACTTACTGACATATAAATTGCCCTTACTATATGACATTCTCTCTTCTGAGAGCATGTACAGACCCATCCAATCCTCTAAAGTGTTACTGACAGATAAGAAAACTGAGTCACAAAAAGCTTAAATAACGTTCAAGGTCATAGAGTGGCTAAGTACAGGGCCTGGCTTTAACCAGGTCTGTCTCCACAATTTTCATGCTGTACTCTCTGCATCTTGGAGCCAATAAGTTTGTCATAATCAAACACCCAGACCTTCTGCTTTGACCATGACCATTCCTGATATTCCTTACTGCCTCACATGAGATTCCACTGAGTAATGTCCAAACCACTTAGGCTGGCACAGAAGCTTCCTCGTGACCTTTTATCTTTCCCCCAGGCCTATCTCCTCAGTCCTCTCTGACCCCCTCCTTCTTCCCCATGGAAAGCTGCACTGAGCTGCACAGAGTTTCCCAAAGGACCCACTGTCATTCTTGCTTCCCTGAATTTATATGGCTTTCCTCATATGGAGTGTCCTTCATTAATCCCTCTGTGCCTGGCTGACTCCCACTCACCCATAAAAACCCAGGCACCCCTGACACCCCCAGCCCCTAGTTACACACACACCAGCCTGGAATGTTCATCTGTTGTGTTCTTCCATTAGAACATTTGTCCAGGTGTGTTCTGGCTGTTTGAGGACATCCTTCTTTTTCTTAACACTAAGTACTCACTGTTGGCAGGGACCTTAGGCCCCAACTCCTTGTTCAGTGTATTGGTCAACAGTCAGAGTTAAATAAAAGTGGTATAAATGAATAAATACATGAAAGCTTTAACGGGGAACTGAATCTGCCTGACAATGCCCTGCTGCATGACTAATTTTCCAAGAATATTCCATGAAGAAAGGCCTTGAATGCCATTCCTTCTCAGTTGATTTAAATAGCAGGAACAATAGACATGAAGGTCCGCAGTTAATTAAAAAGACAAAACACTATCTAAAAGTTTTCTCGGGCACCCAATAATTCAATCATTTTAACTTTCTACCTCCTCCATAAAATATTTGGGAAATATTTTAGACAATGGTAGCAACTCTTGCTGACCTCCTAGGAACCTATTTCATTCTTTTGGCACATTTTTAATTAAAATCAACCAGACCACATACAGTCCTGATTTACTTTGAACTATTTCTTAGGTGTTATTCTTGACTCTTACTTAACTGGCAGTCTCTGTTAAGTGTGTATATATGATATCTGTGGCTATTTCTGTCCAAGGCACTCAAACTCCCTTTCCCTGTTTTGTCATCCATTGAGTTAGAAATGTTATGGCTCTCTATCTAATTACTTCTAGAATGAGTTCGAGTCGAAACCAATTCAGTCTTCTTATATAAGAGATTTGCTCATATAAACATTTGTCTTCAAGATTTACTCATGAGGACTTATTTTATTCTCACTAAAACCCTATGATATAATTTTGTTATTACACCAGGGTAGCTGAGGCACAAAGAAGATACAAAGTTCAAAGTTACATGACTAATAAGAGGCTGAGCCGGGATTCAAAACCAATGAGTCAACCACCAGAGATTATGCTCATAAACACTGTGCTACCTTGGCATTCATAGATGGTTTATATTTTAAAGGATTTTAAAAAGTCTTGCATGAATGCACTAAAAAGATACACTCACTGAGAGAAATGAATAACTATTTTTACCCCACAGCACTGCCTCTTACAGGCTATGCAAACTTCAACAGTGCAGTGCATTTCACTTGAACTCTCAGGCGATTCTGAGCCCTGGCATTTCACTGTTGCATGGCTAGTTGTTTCTTCAGGACATACTTACTTGGCAATAAAAAGGAGGGAGAATGTTGAGACTTTATGCCTTAGCCCCACCTGCTACTGAAGCAATACCTAGAGCCATGTTTGGGAATCACCAATCTAGTTCACAGGTTCCACGTGCTTGTCATTTTCCACTGTCCTTCGTGATGAGGGCTCTGCTACTGCTATGACTTCTAGGAACTGTCTCATCATCCTCACTGCTGTGCCCGCGTGAAGGCTCACATCAGGGAGACTCTTGCCACGGGGCCCTAGGGCTGCTCGTGTCCATACCCCCAAGAGCCTCATAGTCTCCAGACCCTTTCAGTCTCCAAAGCCATGATCACTAATGCACTGGGGGGTGGAGGGAGAGTTGGGAGTAGCAGATCTAGATGCCTAGAAGCTAAGACCCTTTGACAGAGGGATGAGTTCCTCCTTTCTGTGCTCTATTTTATTAAATAGTTATCAAAACTATACTATCTTGACTACTTAATTCTCACATAGAGTTGAGTTAATTAGTTCTTACAGTTTCATTCATGTAGCCATTGTTTTCTAATTTATGAATAGTAAATCACTGAACAAATCTGAGTAACAGATACTATGTTCTGCTAAGAATCTCTAGCTCTTCTCTGATGTCTGAGACATTGTCACTGGATCAAGATTATGTACCTGACATTTCTTTCTTTCTTTTGAATTGTTCCTCAGTCAGCCCACTAACCAACATCAGGATCCTGGTCTTACACTCTTAAACACAGCTTCAGGTACAGTATATAGTATCTAGTATCTAGTATCTAGTATATAGTATACGGTATGTAGCATATAGTGTGTGTGTGTGTGTGTGTGTGTGCATCTGTGTATATACACATATATATTTATATGTAAATCTCCCAACTGTGAGGGCAAGTAGGAAGATGTGTGTATGTGTGTGTGTGTGTGTGTGTGTGTGTATGTGTGTGCATGTGTGTAAAAACAAAAGAAAGAAGGACATAGTCACTAATGTGGATATGAATATGAAGAGGAGCATAAACCAGAAAGTAAATCACTAGCATTAGAAGAATTTCTGTATCTTGGCATTCTTAAATTTGCTGAAATCAAACCTGAGGAAGTGCCCTCATTTGAAGAAGACATCTAAAAGGAAGACTTCAGGCTTCTAGCCTGAAGCACCTGGCTCATGCTTCCCCACAATTTCTCAAAAATACCTACAGACATCATGAAGACGAATACAATTAACTGACCATTGAAGACAAGTTCCAGGCACACAAGAGCTCTTGGGAAGTGAGCATTTGGCTCTCTTACAAGCCACTGCCAGGTGGCCAGGATGCTCGCTACACACCTGGATGGAGCAGATGAGCACCACCCTGTGCTCGGACGTTGGGCCAGGTGCATTTGCCACGATCCCAGGAGGAGTCTGGCTCCAGCAGGAGCACACAGCAGCTCCTTTCACTTCAGAGTAAAAGCTGCAGTATAATTTATTCAAGATGGGTCCAGATTCTTAATTGGACAGGTGTGTGAGAAAACTCTGGCTGTGAGCACAGCGTGTCCTACTATCGAACTTTTCTGTCGACATCCTTTCAGCACTTCCTGTCAGGCTAACCTTAACTCTGTTAGGTCAGGTGCTGGCAGGTGGCAAGGCTGGCCAAGAATAAGAGAAACATGAAGTCGTGAAAAATCAAATACGAACCCACAGGACTGATTCCCCCCCCACCCCTATTTTCTCAAGTTTCTAAAGGCCGAAGGAAAAAAGGAAGCTCTCATCTCTTCATTCTCTAGGATCTGTTGTACTGAAGCACCATCTGTTGACTTTGATTGGTTAACTCTTTCCCAGATGCATCTCTGTCACCTTGAATACACATGGGAATGGAGTTAGGAGAGACGAGAGAGCAGGAGGGAGAAAGTAAGGAAGAGGGGAGAGAGAAAGATTTTGTTTAATTCCCGGAGAGATAGAATTATTGGAGGATTCTGATGAGATTTTCAGCAGAGATGAAAATTCACAGGTGAAAGGTCAGGAAAAGGAGGGGAAGGAAAGACAGGGCACTGTGCATTTCTTCACTTAACATTATACACAAAGGGCTGTGTTAGGTTTGTGTAAATATCCAACATCCTTCCTCACTCCCATTTCAAGGGGGGAAAACACTCTTCAAATACAATATCCTGCACCATTCATTCTCATGCATTCTGTTCACGAAGGGACTGGCCACCTAGGTTTCAGTTTTGCCTTTAGCATTGATATCCACTGTGTGATTTTGAGCATTGGCCATTACTTTCATATATCTAATTTTCCCTAATGGGAAAAATAGATTAGGAATACTATGCTAGCCCTCCCCTGAGAATGTACGTAAGAAATACTGCCTTTAAGAAATATCAATGGAATGGGATCTATCTGTCTACAGAATGTTATTATTGATGCTATTTTGGAGGGCACTCATGGTTATCCAGACTGGGAACCAGGCCAAATTGAAACTACACCACTTTTCCTCCAAACAATTAAGTAGTTGCCATTTATCACTCCCTAGAAATAATGTCTCCTACACTGTACGTTAGGTGTGAAGATTCATCATATGGTTCCCAGGTAATTACAATCATACGCTTTTGAGTTTAACATGCTCCTGAGAACGTCATGAATTCCCACCAGCTCAGCCAGGGCCACAGGGGGCAAAGAGCCCAAGTGCTATCCCATGAGAGAGTGCCATGTGGGTACCTCCTGTGGGACAGCTGTTGCAGTAACAATGACCTGTGCCTGACCCACAAAAGAAAGGATTCAGCCCTCTAGCTTCCTGCTGGATATTCCAGTGGTGGAAAGGTACAGCTCATCTTCCTCCCTAAAGACCACTAGCAGCAAAAGAAGCTAGACAGAACTAGCTGGCCTCGTATGGATTCAGTGCCAGGCTGAAGCTTCCTAGGTGATTTGTGACTTTGGGTGTAGTTATGAAACGAGGCTTCCCAGCCGTCGTCTGGTCTCTATGTATACAACGGTCTGCTAGAGCTCATAACGCATCTAATGAAAAGTCTCCCCTAAAGCTATCTGGTGTATAAACTGAATGTCAGTTGATGGGCAGGTCTAGAAGTGTGTTATTTTTTCCCTCACCCCTGCATTTTCATGAAATGAGGCAACTCAAATACATCATTTCAATCTGTACAAATAATTCCCAGGAAAGGCATTTGAAATTGTGCTAAGATGTAAATGTACTTGGAGGTGATAAAGTTCCAGAAGAATCTAGAGATGGTGAATCAGGAAGAAAAGTGATTATGGGAAATAAGGAAGTTGTTTCTTACAGATAACTTCCTAAGGTCATGATGGAAAATAACAGTTGGATAACAATAATGTTATAATAATAGCATTGTTATAATAATATCTAACGGTGGAGTCCTTGTTCTGCCATTGATTTTCATGTACTCTTCAAACCATCTTATAATAACTCATTACGCCATTTTAGACTTGGGACTAAAAGCATCAAACCTAGAATGACAGAAAACAATTTTCATACTCAAATATCTCTTTCCTGTTTTATCACTTTTTACCAATGTATTCTCTAGAACTGTCGCTTTTAAACCAGGACTCTGGGTGAGGCCCCTGGGTGGCTCAGTCGGTTAAGTGTCTGACTCTTGATTTTGGCTCAGGTCATGATCTCACACTTGGTGAGTTCGAGCTCCATATCAGGGTCTGCACTGATAGAGTGGCGCCTGCTTTGAATTCTTTCTCTCTCCCCCACCCCTGCCCTCTATCTTTCTATCTCTAAATAAACAAATAAGCTTAAAAAATATAAACCCAGGACTCTGGGTTGAGATATGACCTCAAAATACAGGAAAAATGTAGTCTGGGAAAGAGAAAGTGATGTCTGGAAGACAGGTGATCATGGGAAAAGGTGCCCACGCTTTCAGAAACTGGAAGGGACTCTAGAGTTCTTGACCTCAGTGCACTTGCCTCTGGGAAGTCTTATCTCAATTCAGAAAAGTTAAGAATTGCTTCTCTCGAAAGCAAAATCCCAAAGAAACAAAAAGTAACTAGAGTGTTATGGTCAACATGGCTCTCCATCCAAATATTTACTTTGTAATGCTCCTCCTGTTCTTCTATGAGTGTGTGTGTGTGTGTGTGTGTGTGTGCGCGCGCGTGCGTGTGTTAGGCACTAAAATGTCATGAGCCATATGGAATAGGGATGATATTGGCAATCTTCGATATGAAATGAGTTTTAGTGTTTTTCACCTGACTCAAAAATGCTGAAAGAAATGTAGGTATCTTTTACTTATAAAGAGGAAATTCATACCAAAGCCTCTACAAGCTTAAATCAACCAAAATAAGAATCATCAGCTTTTTGTCATAATATTCTTTTTTATTCCTGTTTCTTACATTGCTCAGCAAAGCTTCTCTCATAGTTGATTTCATCACCTTAGTAATCCACTAAAAGCAGGTTTTTTTCATAGTGTATTTCATATTAAATGATGTTTATATAGCTATGTGTGGATATAAATATATATTTTCCAAGTAGACTGAACTCCGTGAGAACAGAAACTGCATTTATCTTGTTCAGGGTTTTATCTCAAGGACCTAACACTATGCATGGCACATAATATATACTTAAAAAATATCACTGCAAGGGGCGCCTAGGTGGCTAAGTCAATTGAGCATCTGACTTCAGCTCAGATCATGATCTCACAGGTTCATGAGTTTGAACCCCAAGTCAGGCTCTCTGCTGTCAACGCCTGGCTTGCTTAGGATCCTCTGTCCCCTCTCTCTCGGCCCCTCCCCCCTCAAAGAATAAATAAACATTAAAAAATATATCACTGAAAGGAATGACTGAATATACATACCTTGTTTCTGTTACTACATTTTTTAAAACATAGTCATACTTAATACATATTATTTCTTCCTCTGTATGCCTGAGGATATGATCAAATCAACAAGACCAACTGACTCTACCTCTTCTGTATGTCTCAAACCTATACTCTCCCATCTTCTCATTTCCTCAGCCTGTGGTGTATGTAATATTTCTGCATTTGAACTCTCTTCAAAAGCCTTCCGCTTTTCCAAATTCAAGCCAGTCCTGAACAAGTTATAAGACATGGCACTCATCTGCTTCAACTCCTTAACACTGCCCCACTGGATTTCATCAAGATCATGTCTCTGCTTTTGAGCATAACAAGTGAATCAAGAAGACTTGAGGATGAATAAGAAATGTTTCTGGTTGAGTCAAAGTACTTGACTATGGCCATGTCTTTCTCTTATTTTATGTTTATTTACTTTTAAGAGAGAGAGTATGAGTGGCTGAATGACAGAGAGAAAGGGGGCAGAGGATCTGAAGCAGACTCTGTGCTGACAGAAGAGAGCCTGATGTGGGGCTTGAACCCACAAACCCATGAGACCATAACCTGAGACAAAGTCAGATGCTCAACTGACTGAGCAGCCAGGGGCTGTGACCATGTCTTTCTAAATAACACATCTTGGCTCTTTTTCACATCTGCCTGAACTTGTTTTAGAAGTTCCCAAGATTCTGATCGTAGGTGTTCTTATTGCTTACGGGGGTGTCATTACTTCTAGACCCTCTCAGATTATACAACAAGAAATTTATCTGTATAAATACTAACAAATACATATATAAATATTTCTATATTTAACTATATTATGTTATACATTGTCACATGGATCATTCTAGCTTCTTCTTCTTTTTCTTCTTCTTTCTTTTTTTTTTTTTTTTGGTTATCTGTAACACCTCACTCCAAAAGTGAGAAACTTGGCTCCCACTTTCCATTATCTGTGTACATAACT